TTCTACTGCCATTTCAGGAGTGAAAAGCATCATCAGAACACAGTATTTAAATAGCCTCACACAGCAAAACCAACGCTGTAAAACTGTCACGGGAGGTTGTGTTTAGCTCTTTAACAATCAAACCTCCAAGCCTCTGAAGAAAAAGGGTTTCTTCCAGATGGCACCTCTGCATGCTGCTCCAGCAGTTCACAACACATCCATCACCACAGCTCAAAAACCCACAGGCAGGATGCCACTGCTGTGCTTCCTCTCCAGGTAGCACTGAAGATAAAAACCTACCCCATGGGTACAGGTGTCCAGGTAACTGCCTGCAGGGCTGTTTCCAGGGACACAGTCAGAAAAACCCTCTTTTGCTTCTGAGTGGAGCAATTCCAGAGCCAGCTCGGGGGCACGATCACCAGCCTGCTGCTCCTTTATTTTCCTTCCCACGGTTGAATGAAGTTGTTGGGCAACTCTACAGCATTTATTATAGCGAAATACTATATACTTCTACCTGCCCCATAGGTAGAATTTGAGCATGCACTATCAGAGGGCAAAAGCTCAGCTAAGTGTACCTCCAAGCAGCTCCTGCTAAGAATTTGATGTATAATACAGAAATAAGATGAAAAAAAACACAAAGGAAAAAGCTCACAGATGTTGGACATAATCTAGCCACTGCCTTCCCTACAAACTCAGAACAGCTCCCAGATGGACATATAATGCTTTAAGCCTTATTTCATATGTTCCATTTTAAACAAAACCATTTCTCTAGGAAAATGACTCCAGTTTTAAGGTGCGTTATTACCCTGCAACCATCCCTGCTAGAGAGGTGCTGAGGTTATTCTCAACAGAACTGAAGGTACTGGTGACTTCCTTGAGTTCTGCCTGGCCTTGGCTGTGTAGCTGGTGCAGTTTCACCCAAGAAATTTTCACCTAGTGTTGGTATCCTACAATTCCACCCACAGCCTTTCACAACAGTCAGGTGTTGAGTGCTCATGTGAAACTGGCAAGACTGAGTTGCCTGAAATGCTCCGTGATTGGAGGAGCCTAGAAGGGCTGCAAACTCAATAACTGCATGTGGGGCTGCACAGCTCACTGCATCTCTGCTTTGGCTGTCACTGGGAAGGGGTGCACACCAGCACCTGCCCTTTGCTGGGTGGCTGCAGGACTTGGAGCCTCTCCCTGTGAGCTGAGAGCTCCCATTCAGGGGAGAATGGAAGTGAGATCTGGAGGGAATTCCCTCCCAAGCCATGTGGCAGAAGACCATGTAGTAGAAGACAGGAATAGCTGCTTGGAAACAAGGAAAGCTTCTCCTTGTCCAACCAGTAGAAGCAAAGCTTAAACACATCAACCTATACTTGATACTTTAAGCTTAGCACATACTTTGTTCGTAATGTCACCATCTCACAAGAGAGACAACTTTACTGACAAAAATTTAATTTGCTCTGCCTGGCCTGTGAGGTTGTTTTGAGATCTTTCTAGCCAAGCTCAGCACCATCACCTGACAGCTGCAGGAAAACTTTCAGAGACAGGCTGACAGAGCTGGGGCTGCGCTGCCTGGAGAAGAGAAGGCTGCAAGGTGACCTGATAGTGACCTGTCAGAATCTAAAGGGGAGCTACAGAAAAGAAGGGGACAGCCTCTTTAGCAGGGTCTTTGGTGACAGAACAAGGGGAAATGGCTTCAAGCTCAAATAAGGTAGGTTTAGGTTAGATATAAGGTAAATTCTTACAGTGAGGGCAGTGAGGCACTGGCACAGGCTGCCCAGAGATGTGGTGGATGCCTCGCCCCTGGAGACTTTCAAGGCGAGGCTAGATCAGGCCCTGGGCAACCTGATCTAGCTGTGGTGCCCCTGTACACTGGGATACCAATAGACTAGATGGCCTTTAAAGGTCCCTTCTGACTCTAACGATTCTATGAATCTAAATCATCAAGGGGGAAATATACTTTACCTTTAAATGCCTCTGTAGCCCCGGGTGCGTGGTTCTTATCTGGGTGAAATTTCAGTGCGAGTTTCCTGTAAGCCTTTTTCAAGTCCTCATCAGAGGCTTCTCTATTGACTCCCAGAATTTCGTAGTAATCCTTACATTGCTTTACCCTACCAGAAGATAAATGAGAAAACAAGGGCAGTGAATTCCAGCTACAAAAACTGCTTTGCCACAAACACATCAACTCTGCAGTGTCTCACGTATCGCAGTTTCAACTGATGTTGTTCAGCAAACTCCAGTTTACTCAGTTCTAATTCCTCAGAGGGTGACCTAATTTTTTTTGCATGCTCATCCACAGAAGACCTGCTTTACGAGCACACAAACACTCCCACAGAACAAGCCATTCCTGTAAAGGTAGGAGGGCCTCTCCACAGACTATGATATCACCTGCACAAGCACGCGATTCACAAATAAGCTTCAGATTCATCACACTCACGTTTTAAAGGCTGTTCAGGAGGTGTGGGGATTACACGTGGCAGGCTGGGGGACATCTGGGCTTCTGGCTTGGTTTTAACAATCTCCCTCAGGCCCCACTGGTTCAGACTTAACAGGAGAAGGAGCGGGAGGAGCTGCCCAGGCCTGTGTGCAGCCCAGCTCCTGCTGCATACTCCTCACAGCTCCGTCACAGTTTCTCTTTCTTACATGACTTATACAAGACAGAATAAAACGAGCTGGCTTTCTGGAGAATCAGGTGACATAGCAAACAGACTCGGAAATCAATTAGCCAGAGCAGCTCTTGCGCAACCCAGAGCATACCCAAAGGCTTACGCAGAGTTTACCAAGTGACTGCGCACACGGTTCAGTCCTTCAACTTCCAGCATTTACAAGTGGTACAAAGGAATAATGAACAGCTGAAACAGCATTTGAAAAAGGGGTGACTAGATAAATGTGCCTTGGGACTATCCAATAAGAGCCTTAGAAATACATCATCCAAACAGAGTGAAGTGACCTGCTGTAGATTTCTACATTGTTGAGCTCTTGGAGGGACCGTCTGCAGGTGAGAGGGACACCCACACCCCCTGGCACTTGCTACAGGGCAAGGCTCAGAACATAAGGGCTTCCCGCTGCAAGCTGTGAGCCATGGCTTCCCCCAACACATCTCAGCACTATATGGGATTTTGCACAGAACCACTGAACAGCACCTAAAGGAAACATTCATATGAAGTCCTCCCTCCTTCCTGCCCAGGGAGGTTGTGGATTCCCTGTCCTTGGACGTGTTCAAGGCCAGGTTGGATGGGGTCCTGGGCAACCTGATCTAAATGTGTATGTTTGGTGGCCGTGCTAGGCAGGGGGGTTGGAACTACATGATCCTTGAGGTCCCTTCCAACCCGGGTGATTCTGTGATTCTGTGAAGTCCATAGAACAAACGTACTCAAAATGCCCTTTGCACCTCACCAGGAAATCGCCTGCCTGCCTGCAGCTCTAGCCTCTGTATGTGCCGTGAGGGGAAAGTCTCATCCTTGGCAGCTGCCTTGCAGGGCCACCTAGGTTCCCTTTTAACACCTCACTGGAAAAAGACCACTCCACGTGGATCAGAGCTGACCAAATCTCTCACATAGCACTGAATATAAACAGCTGTCCAACTCTGACCTATTCTGCGTACACTCCCGTTTCGCGCTCTGCCCCTACATCTTAAAAACACGGTGAGAAACAGACAGATATCACATAACAAACACTGGGTGTAAGCAGCACACACACCTCTTCACGGCATCCACCTGGTCCTGCGTGTAGCCCTTGGGGGCCTCCCCGCCGGCCTCCCCATTGGCTGAAGGGAAGTCCCCGCCCGCCTTCCTGAACTGGGCGTTTGGGGACTCCCGGGCCTGGGACTGCCCGGTGGATGACGGCTCGCTCTTGTTGAGCGACTCGAGGAGAACTGAAAGGAGAAAAGGGGAAAGCAAAACAAGGTCAGAGAACACCGAGCTCACTCTGCCCTTCCCGCTTCCCTAGAGCCATCCCTCTTTAACCCAGCTCTCAGCTACTCCCGGAATACCGCAGGTCTGGGAGCGTGGGAGAATCTCTGCAGCAACGTACCCTCCTCCGCTTGCCTTCTCCCATCGGATCGCAGGACACCCCGAGTTGGAAGGGACCCATAAGGAGCACGGAGTCCAACCCCCAGCTCCGCACAGGAGCGCCCAGAACTCAGACTCTACATTCGAGCGCGTCGTCCAGCCGCTCCTTGAACTCCAGCAGCTGCGTGCCGCGCCCGCCGCCCCCTGGCGGGGCACTTTTTCCCGATTCCCGGGCCAAGATCTCTCGGTAATAGCGGAAGGCTTCCAGGCTCGCTCTCCTTTCCCGAGGCGGGATCAGACAGCCGAGGATTCGGCCTCCTCCCGCAACGCCCGGACACGGCCCAGTGCAGCAAGCCGGTCGCCTCCGCGCTGCGACCCACCTCGCGGCGCACGCGTCCCTACCCGGCGGCCACCTGCGCCTCCCCGACGTACTTGTAGCTATTTTTCGGCCGCTCGGCAGGTTGGCCCCCTCGCATCCGCGCTACCCGACCCCGCGTGCCGTACTCCCATAGGAAGGCTGCCGCCCTTCCCCCCGTCCCGCTCCCCACCGTTCCTCCCCCGGAGGACTCGCCTTCCCAGCACGCCCCGCGCGCCGCCCCGCACGGTGCAGGCGCGGCCCGCCGAAGCTGCTGTGGCAGCGCTCGGGCCGCGCCGCCGGCCCCGACCTCCCCTCCCCCCTCTCGCTCCGCCCCGCGCCCGCCGCCGCTCACCGCGGACCCGCGGCGAGGGGTAGAGGCGCTGCGCCTTCTCCAGGAAGCGGCGGGCTCGTTCGGGCTGGTTGGCCTTGATGGCGGCCAGCGCGATGCCGATACACCGCTCCGCCTCGTCCCTGTTCGACTCCATGGCGGCGGCGGCCGGCCGGGGCGGGGGCGGTGCTGCGCGCGGGGTGATGACGTCGCGGCCGCGCCCCCACGTGGCCCCGCCCCCCGCCGTACTGCCGCGAGGGCGGGCGCGCGCCGCCCCGGAGCGTCGCCGGCGGGCTCGGTGCCCTCCCCGCCTGGCGGAGCGGCGTCAAGACACGAGATAGAAGCCGTGCGGTTTGTAATGGCAACTAGAAGTGAGCGGGTACAGCGTGTCAACCCCGCCCTGCGGGTGAGGGCAGCACAAACGTCCCCTTTCCTACAAGAGAAGAAGAGGGAGGTGCACGAGGCAGGCGGCGGTAGGGCCTGGCTGGTTCGGCCCTCCTGCGCCGGTGTCCCGTTAGGGCCGGGGCAGGGTGAAGTCCCAGGCCGTCTCCTGGGCGCACTTCCACATAGCGCGCATCAGACGTGTGAAGCCCATGTCCTTGGGCTTCTCCAGGCCCCGCATCAGCCGCTGCTTCATGATGGCCACAAACTCCTTGTTGCTCAGCTCGCCATTCCCTGCAAGGAGAGGAAGGCGTTAGGAACACGTGAAGCCACCACCAGCACCCAGGAGCAGCCAGCCCAGGCCCAAGGGAAGGTATATTCAATGAGCCGCTTTCTTCAACTCAAAGTGCTTTTTTCTGCATCGCATCTAGATATAAATCTGGGCAAGGGAACTCTTGTCAAAGTATTGAGGAGTGAGCGGCAGTTTCCCTGGTGCCCGCAATAATGCCTACAATCACCAATGCAGTTATAAGCCACAAAGAGTTCAGTGCTGCATTTCCACTCGTGTCTCCCTCACAGACAGCGAGTGGCCACCAACAGTTCTTCCCCCCAGAGCTTTGCTATCTGACTATTTAGTAGATCCTCCTACAAGAGAATGCCAATGGAGAACATTTGGGTACCCTTTGGTTCACTCCAGTCTGAGTGTCTGCTTTGAGGATGTGATGGGAAATGACACTGAAGCACAGAGGAAAATAAAACAAATGCAGCACTCCAGCAGGTGGAGCTGAAACCCAGAGGAACTGCAGCCAAGAGGCAGAGCAAGGGATGGCACTTCTCTATGTCCCTGTTTAAATGAGGGAACAGCAGCCTGGCAGTACTTGCCGCCACTGCATCGGAGCAGGAGGGCCACAGCACCAGGGCACCAGGAGGGGCTCTGGTTTGGATACTGTAATTTTGCAGAGTTTTGCTTCTCCCAGCCCAAAAGCATATTCCTCTTGCCTTCATCAACACATTTCAAAGGCTGCTCTGAAGCTTGCTATGCCCATCCGTGGGTGTAAAATGCCAAATGCCAATGAAGCAATGGCAACCAAACCATGGCCTACAAGCAGTGTTTTTTGGGGAAGATCCTGCCAGATTGCTTTGTGTTTCTCTGCAGTGGTGTCTGCAGCCCCACTGCACAACAAGCTGTTACCACCCAAAGGCCTCAAAGAGTACGTCCAATGCAGGAGGTACTGTCTGAAGTATCTCTATCTCAGCACAAGATCAACAATTCCACTGATTCCCATTACCTCAGCCCAATACAGGGCACTGAGGTATTTGCTACCCCAAAGCATTTGCAGCCTGCATGTGGGTGCAGCACCAAGTTTACTGCAAGGCACAGAGCTGCCATTAATTAGTTAGGCTGGCATTTATAGAGGACTTTGGAGCTACAAAATACCAGATCGGCTGATTTCCAGCACTACAACACAAACACTCATTTTCTTGAACACATCAATCTGCTGAGAAAGAGATAAGCTGCTTCCTACTGCAGCCAGCCTGCATCCAACACTTCTTCCACATGCGATGCTTTAAGATCAATGCACTAGGAGCTGGGCACAACTGGAAACCCTTCCCAGAAAGGCCGCTACAGACCTATGGCCACACAGCAAAGCTCAGCACAAAATGGACATCTGCTAGCACAGAAAAACTCTGAGCAAAATTGGGCAGTTCCCATGGTGGGAGCCTTCTCCCTGCACTTCTAGCCCTGGCTTAGCTCTCACCCATGCTGGCTGCAGCCAGCAGTGGTCACAGGACACTCAGTTGCTCACCGTCGCAGTCAAAGAGCGCAAACACCACATCACACACGTGGTCTGACAGCTCCACCTTCGCCACCGTCCTGGCCACCTGCTGCATCGTCACTGCACGAGAGGAAGGCACAGTTAGTGGGACACCAGCACCCATGGCAGCCACCACAACAGGCAGAAAAATCTCCCTTTTCCATTTTAGCAGCCACAGATTCAGTGCAGGGTTATGCAGTTGATTTTGCTGAGCCTCACAGGTCTGGTTTAGCTGTTCCCTACATACGTTAGTGCTAATCTGACAGCCTTCTGCTGTCGCTCTGAACCTGCTCAGCACCATTTGTTGGGGCTGAATCACTCCACTCCAGCCTCTCGATGCAACGGAAGAGCTCTGCACAAATGTGTTTGCATTTACCCTTCACCCAGTTGAACTGAAACCCAAGGTGAATGACTGAAGGCTCCCATCAGAAGCGATTTCATTTTGCGATGCATCACCATGACATGCATTCAAATGGTGCCTTGGGAGGAAACCTTCCAGCAAGGGTGAGAGCTACCCTGTGCTGTGTGCCCCAAAATTCAGCTTGATCCCTATATTTAATTTTAAAGAGCTGCTTTCCAACCAGTTGCACAACAGCCCTGTGGCACTCCACCAAAGCAAATTGGCCCTTGAAGCTAAAGCAGAGCAGTGAGCGGTGTAGCAGGGAATCCTGTCCACTGTTACCAGAATAAAGCTGTTTCCAAGTCAGTGTTGAAGAAAACCCAAATTAGTTTCAGCCCCCAAGATGAGATGTGGTCAAACAAACAAACCCAGGTGATGGCATTCCTCAGCCCCACAAAGAAGTGTGTTAATGGCCCAGGATTTAATCAGCTCGCACTGACATCAAATGCTCACAAACTGTAATTAAATTCCCAAGCTGACTTCAGCTTCCCCTGACTTCAGGAAAGGAATAAAACCATAAATCTTTCAGCAAGGGCTGGTGCATGCCAGGTCAGAGGCACAGGAGGACATGGTATAATTAGATTATGTCACGCTGTCCTCGGGCCGATGCCAGCCACATCTTCAGACCCTCACAAAATGCCTTCAATGCAGATCTGCTGCTCTTTGCTGACCTTTCACCCCCTGCTTTCCTGCCCCACCAGCTGAGGGCAAGGTCACAGCAAGCTGCCCATCTGCTTTGCTGAACCTCTGGAATAACTCAGCTGCAGCACTGGGAGCTGCAGCAGAAGACCATGGCAACAAGGGGAGAGCTCCTTATACCTTTCTGTAAGGAGGCTGTGGCCCATGGGACAAATCAGCATCATCTCAGGTAGCCCCACCTGCCCACATCCCTCAGTGCCACATCTCCACAGCTCCGAACACCTTCAGGGATACAGATCCCCCCACCTCCTTGGGCAGCCTGTGCGTGTGCATTACCGTACTTCCAGAGAATAAATGTTTCGTAATATCCAACCTGAGAAAGAAAGAAACAGCCCCAGAAGAGAACTGCCCTTGGAGCAAAACTGTCTCTCCAGTTACAGCAAAGCGCAGCACTGCTCTCACACAGCTTTGTTTTTGTAATAGCATCACACCTACCAAACAGAAGAGTTTGCACAGGTACCATATAAGTCTCTGGCAGTGGTACAGAGGTCAGCTCTCATCTTTGTGTGCTTCTTCAAAAAAGCACCACCAAAAAAGTTTATCTACGCTCATCTCTCAGCTTAATTTTCCCTACTTATCAGCACGCGCTGCAGAGGTGCTTTAGCACACCTAGGCTTACGGAAGGAGAGAGGCTTTAAGTGCTGTAAGCCACCATATATCCAAGATTAATCATCTCCAACAGCAGCAGAGAATCATAGAATTGCTCAGGTTGGAAAAGACCTTAGAGATCATTAAGTCCAACTGCAACCAAACCATACTACCCTAACTCTAACAACCCACCAATAAATCATGTCCCAGAGCACCACATCCAAACAGATTTTAAACACGTTCAGGAATGGTGACTCAGCCACCTCCCTGAGGAGCCTATTCCAGTCTGTATTTCCTCAAGCAGCAATGCTGAATGCCGTAGTAGAATGGTTTGGGTTGGAGGGCACCTTTAAGATCATTTAGTTCCAACCCCCATACCAGAGGCAGGGACACCTTCCACTAGGCCAGCTTGCTCAAAGCCCAGCATCTCTCAGCTCCTTTCAAACAAACCTTCCTGAGAGGTGCCAGCTTAAGCTCTGACCCCACATTCCTCTGCCGCCAGTGCCTCAGAGCACAAGGTGTCTCAGTAAGGTAAACAGAAGTAACATCAATCTACGTATGTCATTTCTTTGCTGTTTTAGAAAATGAAACAGGTGCTGTCTGGGGAAACATATCATCAAACAGCCTTTTCCCAATTTGGATTTTGTGATAGCTGCATCAATCTCTATGCAGGAATGTCTCCAGGATTTTATATTATCAAATATTAGTTCTACTTTTATATCTTGAAAGCTGTTTTTCTTTTAAGATTTCAAGTGTTGCAGCTTTATGCCAGCTTCTTTAATAAGCCATAGGAGCATTTCATGCAGGGTTAGCTCACGACAGCTCTCTCTTCCATCCAGCTCCCCAGGATCACCCTGAGCAATGCCCCACGATGTGCTCAAGACACAGAGTTGTGTGTGGCAGGACTGTGCCAGAGCCCAGACAGATGGCAAATGTCATTTTTCTCTGGTCTTGAGATAAATGATTCGGCCAAAGTAACAACAGACAGATGCTCTATCTCAGTGGATGGGAAGGCTCTATTTCCTCCTACTGCTGAAGGATACAACTTCCTTTTGTTTCTAATGCAAGTTGCTCAAAGGCACTTTGCCCTGCCTTAAGACACAGGGCAGCCATGCCACAGGATTGCTGCTCAGAAAGTCTGGCTGTGAACAGCCAAGGAAGCACAACTCACACCCACACCTCAGAAGGGGACTCAGCAATGAATTCTGTGCCAGCCTGCTGCCAGCTGCACGCTCCAGCGAACTGCCTGGGGCTGTGTGCTCAATAATGTCCGTTTATGATTTAAGGGAATGATGGTTGTGTGTTTACAGAGGAACCAGAGGACAAATGAGGAATCTCCATGTTAGTCTGTGGGTCAGTTTTATCATCCTCTTTAAAAGAGGCTTCCTTAATTCAGCACCAAAAAGGAGTTGCCCAGCTATGGCTGTTTCATATTAAGCAGCACTTTCAGAAACTAACAGCCAGTCTCCTGCATGAGGTTAGCAGCAAGGACACGAACTGTCCTTTTGCTCCTTCACAAGGTGGAATGATTTTTTGTATCTGTTGCTTTTTAATAAGCAATCCTATAAGAACTTGGCTTTTGGAAGAGGCACAGCCCACTTATTGCTGATTTGATTTGTGGGTGTAACAGCCAGATGAGGTGAGAATGAGCATGCATATGGGAAATGTGTTGCATTTAGTTGTGCAAGCACACAGATTACTGCTGCAAAACCCAGTCATACTGCTGCAGGTTGATTTGCACCTTCATTAAAGCTGCAATAAAGCCTTCCTTGTGCTTCCTGACACAACTCGCAGGAGCATCTCTGGGCTGGGCAGTGCAGATGGAGGAGAGGGGTAACTCACACCAGCTGCCAGACATGGACTGAGCTGGGAATTACAGCACAGCTCTCCTTCCAAAGCAGGAATGGCTTAAACTTGTGAATGGCAAAGGAGTGGTGGCTGATGCTTCTGGAGCCCCCACACTTTAAGGCTTTTTCCACTCCTCCCCAGTTTGCACAGTGCCACTGTCAACCAGACCTCTCCCTGTGGCTTTCCAGCCCTGCAGACTCCTGGCAACAGACCTGGAAGACTCCTGGCAGAACACAGCAGCATAAAGCCTCCCACGGCTGCTTCCTTCAGCCAAAAGACCTCGATCAATGGCTGTAGCTCCAGCACAAGCTCATTAATTGTATGTAATTAAACAGTAATCACACTGATTTACCAACTGCACGTGGACTTAAGTACTCCACAAATACATATTTTGTGACTGGGCAATTGCTAATTTACTGTAGATGCTGAGAAAATTGGATTTGCTAGGCTATTATCACCACACTGCAGATAGGGCTCTGCACAGCAGCAGCACATCCATATTTCATATAAGGTACTTCTTGCTCATTTTTACTTTCAATTTAGAAGGGGAAAAAGCCCGGTAGCTACACAGTCCTTTTAACTTTAAGTCTTAAGATGCAGTGACCTAAAGACAATAGATGATTCCCCTCAAAATTCTGAGATGAGGAGAGCTGTTGTTGCATGCAGGAAGAGATGTAACTCCTATAGCAATTCCACTGTCTAAGAACCTATGCATACCCTAACATTCCTGCAACAACTGGATAAATTACTTGCTTCTGAAACATCTGATTTTGCAGCTGCTTTAACTTGTTAAAAGACAGGAGCTTCCACGAAACTTAAAACTCTAGACAGAGACTTCAGTGCTCAGCCCAGGAACTCAGTGGAGCCCCAAATTCAGGTGCCTGGATTTCAGACCAGAAATGCAGCATGTGGCTCTTCTTTCTGAGCAAAGCATCTTAATGTGAAGCAAAGAGGAACCAGAGGTTGTACAGTGCGTACTACCAGCCCCACTGCTGGTTAATGCCCAAAGACCTCTGCAGGAGAGAACCTGCAAGAAAACTTCTTAAAACACCATTTGTCATTTCCAACACTTTTTTCAAGTGTTTGTAAAAGGTTGGAAAGATGTCCCTCCCAAGACTCATCTGGAGAAGAAACCTTGAGATGCTTGGGCTGGTGATATATTCAGGAGTTTGCTTTGCCTCTGTATACATCTGTCCTGAACAGTTCTGAAGAGCTTTATCACAGCTTACTGATCTATTCAGGCTATACATTTCAGCATTTTTTTCCACTCTAAAATGGAAGAAGTACAAAACCCCAAATCCCTGTTTATCCATGCACTGCAGTAAGTTAAACCTCTCATCACAGGGAAGAGCTGCTGTTTTGTGACACATTTAATCCATCAGACAGGGCTCGCTGGCCAGCTCTAAGCCCAACCACACGGTACAAGCTGCACTGCCTCATGCTCACAGTCTGTGTGCCTCACAAGCTTTAATACCTTTATCAAGTGAAGCTCCAGCCATATGGTAGAAGCTCAATGCTGTGTCCACGTCATTTATATTCTTCAGAAAAGTGAAGAAGTTCTCCACCTCCTCAAATGTCAGCCCCTACAATGGAAAAAGAGATTCTTAAGTGACAGGAAAGGCAGAGTGTGACGCAACAGCAAGAGGTTTGAGGCACCACTACAGGTAGGTTCATGCACAAGATGTGCTTAAACTAGCTTGGCTACAGGGTGCTGAAGGTCTGTTTGCCCTACCTACCTGTACAGCACACAAGCAGAACAGCTGGTGGGAAGCTCAGCTCCTAGATCCATTTGGCTGCAAAACACAGCTCAACTGCAGTGACCCTTTGAGCAGGGCTGCGCTGAGAGCTGCAGCCTCCAGATCACCTGAGCTAGTGCTCCATCACAGCAGGGACAGCCACCCAGCCTCCTTCCCTGCACTGATCAATCAGCCTGTCACAGGAGTTCTGACTCAGCCCCTCCTGCCACACCTACCCAGAGAGATAGATGCACCAAGATACTGAAACCACAACTGCACAACATGGCACGGCTTCAGAGTCCAGATGAGAGTGTACACATTGCAGCTGGTGCTGCCAAATATAAACTTCTACAGTTTGCTGTCACCCTGTTCAAGCTGCTCCCAACAATTTCCTATCAGGGAAGTGATTTTTTTTTTTAATAAATATAAAGCTTTTCTTTTTTTAATATCTTCTCCTACAGACACTCTAGAACTGTAAAAAGAACTGCAGAAAACTTGTAGACTATTCAGAAGTATTTCAGCTTGTTCCTGTTCTCCATGTAACTGAGTAATGACTGTGCATGGCTGATGCATGCTGCAAACCATGTGCACCAACTGCAGCAGCAGGGTTTATCAACACTGGATTCATGAATCCAAACCACAAAGCATGAGGTTTCAAAGTGCAGACGTGAACAACAGACCTAAAAAAAAAAATCCCTACTCACAGCACAGGGGACTTTCTTCAGATGTGTACCTGCTCTGCTTCTCAAGATGTATGCTAACAGCAGCATATGGCAGAATCAAATATGATGCTCCAGCAAAAGAAAACATCAGGTGCTTTTGCAGAAAGTTGCACAAAAGCTTTATACAACAGAGCTAGAAGAGAACAGATCTTGGCAATTCAGACACCAACCCATCTCAGCACCTCCCTGCTGGGTGTTTGTGACTGAGAAGAGCACTAACAATTCAGAAATCCTGTGGGAGCTAGGATCTGCACAGCCACCTTCAGGCCAGCAGAAGACATCGTGCTCTGACTTACTGACTGTATGACATCCCATGGCTGTGACAGTGGCCACGATGTACCCCAACAACCACTGTAACCAGAGTCCCAGCACAGCATTTTCCTGGCCAGCATCGAGACCAAGAAGTGTTTATCTTCATGCCAAGTGGCCCCTCGTTCAGCAGCTTGTGGTGGTTGCTGTTGTTTCAGCCAGCAGCACAGAAAATTACCTGCTTACATACAATCTTGTGGTCCTTGTCATTGCTGGAAAGCAAAACTAATGATACGTGGAAATGTCCTACTAACCCCAGGCTTTCATGGGACACACACACACTGAATCTCCACAGCAAAAATCCAGCTGGTATTACAGAATTGAAGAACTAATTAATTCTGTCACTGAAGCTGGCAGCAACAACGACACCTTCCCAATTCTTTAAAACTTTAGAGCTGCAGAACTGTGCTGACAAGCTGACAGCAATGAATGATCGCTATCAGCCAGCAGCCGAATACGGGGATTTATCTGCCCTGTCACTGTGTCTGTCAGCACTGCTCAGCTCTCCATAAGTCACTCACATCTCTGCTAAAGGACCAGACACAAACCTGCCAAAGGTTCTCCCTTTTGTTCCTCAGGGCCATTTCCACATATATCTGCTTTCTGCTGCATCCACCTGAATTTTCATTCCTTCTGCTCGTAAGGAAATAGCATGCAGTGCAAGTCCTTCACCCATTCTTTCCCTTGCTCTGCTGTCAGACTAAGAAAATGAAATCTCAACACAAAACTACACTGCACAGCCCCAGGCAGCCAACAGCCCTGAAGCACATACAGAAGATGACCTGGATCAACAGCTTCTGAATAGCCAGCTTGGTTTCCTGGTGGTTAGGGACATATAAACCAAATAGCTTTCTTGCAAATACTCTAGACAACACAAGTCCTTTACTAGGAAGAAAGCAGCAGCGTGAGTAAAATTCAAGGGAGTGCATCATAAACAATTTTACATAAAGCAGCAGCTCCAGTGAACATACAGAGGAGTTCAGGTATGCGGAGCATAGTGGGATTTTTCAAGCATAGAAGTGAGAGCAGGCAATCAATTACATAAGAAAATACACCATACTCAATGACAGGAACACAGAACAACGATGCTAGAAGGGGGGTAAAAGTTCACCTAAATCCACAGCTGCAATGATCTGGAGGCTGACAGGGTCACTATGCCCAGAATGGATAATTGTGGTAGACAACATGTAGCGATTTAATCAGAAAGCACTTGAGTTCAATTCAATTTCTAAGGTAATGCTGGGTTAAAAGCTTGCAACATAGTTATGGTCCAGCTCCTGCCATCTCCTCCCCACACCACGCTGCCCCGAGTTATATTCCCACTTGGAAAGGAACAACTCACAGCTCCTGCTGCTTTTGGTGAGATTGCAGCAGGTTAATAAACCACATGGATAATGCTTTAACATGACTTTTAAAGCATGAAATGAAGGGATCTGAAGAAAAACTTCCCTCAGAACATTCACATCAAGCCGCTGTGACCAAGAAGCTGTCTGGTGATGGGAAACAATTGCAGGACAAATGGTGAAGTGGCTGAGTGGCTTCAGCATCTCTTTGAGGACTGGGACCCAAAGAGAGGCATGGGAGAGCACCAGCTCCATTCCTTCTCCACAGGCAAGGAGCAAAGCAAAGCACGACATAGCAGCCGCTGGCTCTGCAGATGTCTCAGTTGCAGAAGCACTGCCAGCACTGAGCTCCTGCTGTTCCCAGTGAAGAGCTTAATGCCACACTCATTTACAAGGGCAACTCTGCAAGCACATCCCTGAATAAATTAGTTTGGAAGCTCAAAAGGCAATTAATGTGATTCTAGCTATGGCAGTCTTAACAGGATAGGAAAATTTAAGTGACATAAAAACACTGACAGCTGCAACTGTGTGATCTAATAAAAGCACATGAGTACACAGGTACAAAATGCTGCACACAAACCAGCAAAGCATACGATCCTCTGCAACACCCCAGGAGAAGAACAAATACTTTCAGGAAGAGGTTCTCTTGTACAAAATCTTGCACAAAAGACAAAACGATGTCAGGCACCAGGCTGGATTGTCTGCGAGCTAAGGCCTGCCAAAACAGGCAAATGTTGTGCTGCATTTGTCTTGTACAAGCACAGGCTTTGAGCATGCTGGTGATTAGAAGGTTTATCTGCTCCTGTGTAAAGAAGCTGCCACTCCTTGCATTCTTTACTTCTCCCTAAACCAATGTGTATCTTGTTAATAGAGGGGCTGTCTCATTTTAGGATTTGGTTGCTTCATCTCCCCCAGCCTAAAGAATTATAGGATTTCTAACAATTCTGTTTCTTGGAAACATTTCTTTCTTCCCCTTAGAAGTTACTGGAATGAATAAAGAGACTTGCTCAGAATCTGTCTGTTACCTACAAATAGAAACGCAATCTGGCTGCCTTCGGGATGAGGAATAAGATGAAAACAAAAGTTCTTTCTCTGTCACAGATGTCAGGTTTCTGATTGACACATGGAAGGAAAGGAACATCTGCTGTAAGAAGCCTTCCAAGAATAACTCCCTCTAATTTCTCATACACCTGGCTACTGTGCCACATACATATACAATCACAGCAGAGAATCAGCAGTTTGAGAGTGTAACAATTGAGCAGATATTTTCTATTCCACAGACATCAGAGTCACAAAGTATTTGTCCCCAAGAAATCAAATAATTCCTGTTAAAACTCAAGGGGAGCAGAAGTACTAGAGGAGTAAAACCCACAATGTCTCACTCAAAAATCCAATAAATGGACTCAAAACTGCACCCTCGGAAACACTGATAGTCTTATTAAAGCTAGTGACCAACAGCTTGGGAAGTGAGATTTTCATGTATTGACAGGCAATTTCTTCCTGCTTTTAGGCATTGTTTACTGTGACAAACAACATATCCCAGAAGCACCCGAGCTCAGACCTCCCTAAGAGTTACAACAGATGAGATGTTTCTGAACTGGATTGCTGATGAAGTTCCAGTTGAGTGAGGCATTTCAGGGATGCCCGAATGTGCTGAGCCTCTGCACTGTGTCGGGAGAGATGAAAACTCACTTGACATTGCTTGTTCGGCTCCCAAAGGAATGCTCCCAAGGAGCACCACCCGGGGTGGAATAGTACATGAGCTATGCTGAGGCTCATGGATGCTGCAGGCTTGCTATTTCTGACCAGTATAACATCAAGAGTTTTGATTATGAAGATTATGTCTTCAGTGAACATTAATTTTTGAGATGAGAAAAGTCAGTTGTGGCTGAAAGTCCTGGTTCACACCTTCCACATTCACAGCTGCTTACAGATGGGCCCCCAGCTAAATCAGAGGTTTTCACCTGGCTGCAGCACTGTCAGTGGGAAAAGTCCCAATAACCTAACGCTGACAAGAGCTTGCTCTCAGGGTATATCAACAGAGACCTACTGGTGTTTTTGCCTTGCTGCTTCAGTGTGCCCAAATTCTCCTTTGTAGCCCCAACACCAGCAGAAAAGACAGGAGAAAAAGTCATTGATGCAGCTTCGTATGGACTGAGGATTCCTGAACATTGCAGGAGTTCAGGACAGTTTTATTTACAGCCCCCCACATAAGACAGTGTTGGCTGGAGTCTGTCCTCTTCTGTTGCCCTACAACACATTCTGCATCTAGAACTTCCTAGAAATAAACATCAGATCTGATTTTGTGAGGAAGTTGCATTAAGAGTCAGGCCAACCCAATGTGCAAAGGACTTCCATCCATTCTCATTTTGGTTGTATGTTTACAACCTAGTTCAAAAAAATCCACCTTTAACTGAAGTAGACATGAAATTCTAATACTGAAGTATTGCAGCACACCATACTTATTTTACCTGATGAAACATGTCCTTTTCAGTATGCATATTTTATTCCAAGGTCTCTTACTAGATTAACTGGTGCAGAATGTGCAGCCTTATTCCTCTCTAAAGCGTAAGTAATTCAAACCATTTTTCACATAAGTTCATAACTAAATAATAAACTGCCCAACCAGAGCAGTTAATTAAACCAAGGTCAAGCCAGTAATTACGTGCACATCTTCAGCATTTATTCTGGCTTCAGATCCAGAGTGCTGCTTCCTAAACATAAGCTTTGTAAACTGTCAGTAGGGAGAAGCCTACACCCTGATCAGGACACGATTACTGCACTCCCACCTCCTGCATCTTGCTGCTCCTGGGGAGAATTCATCATCTGCAAAGTCAGCATGCCTCTCCAGACTGCTTTTCTCTGGATGACAGGGATGGCTCGTTACAGGAGGATAGAGCTTTGCATGTCAACCAATTGCTTAGGAAAGTCATTTCCTGTCCTCAGCCCTTCACAAGGGCATGAAATCTTCAGGGGTTGCATTCATCTCTGCTACAAAGCATCACTCAGCCATGCACAGTTCAGACAAATCAGTGGAAGAGACCATCAGTGCATTTTCCCCTATAAGGGTACCCACTGAACCCGACTCAGCAGCTCATCTCTCAGCACGGTGCGAGATGGTTGCCTGCTCCTCTGCCCCCTCAGATTCTCAAATTTGACTGACCTCCCCATCTTGGAAGCGTTTCTTGAGCTGCTTCAGCATGACAGTGAGCTTCTTGGACTGCACCCCGCTGTAGGCCAGCAGCATGCTGCCAAACTGCCGCTCTGTGATCCGCCCATCCACTGGGTCGTGCCGCTCAAACTGCAGGGAAAAAAAGAGGACAAAAAAGGGTGTAAAAAAAAAAAAAAAAAAAAAGGTATAGTAACACCAAATAAACATCATAGCAGACATGCTTAGAGAAGAAATCCCCGCACAGTTGATTAGTTGCTTCTCCAGGACTGTTTCCATCAGAATCAATACTTCTTTGCACAGGCAACTTCTTGAGAAATTTTCACACCTAGTCCTCCCATCTTATTTCAGTTATATGTTTCATCTTATTGGAAGCTATTTGTAGAACTGAACTTGAAAAAGCAGGATGATTATTTTAACCTGAAACTAAGCTTGTGCCCACAGGTCTCCAAAGAAGTGAGACAAGAAAAAAATACTAAGGTGCACTTTGCATGGCCTTCCAGCTTGGACAAACACCTGAATAACTGTGTTGCAGCAGCTTCTTCCCACTTGCTCAAAAGACTCCAGTTTCAGCATTCAGAATCCCCTATTTGCTTTCCATAAAATACACGGGAAAACGTACAGCTGATTACAAGCCCGACGATGACATTTAACAACAGAATTAATTTTTGAACTCTTATGGAACAACTCATTTATCTCAAGAGTAACACTAATTTGACATAACATGGCTGTGTTAACCATTCCTGCCTCAATCGCTTTTATGTGCTTAATTACACAGCTAGCACAAAGCCAGCAAGGCACCCAGCTGAGATCAAGGTGGGAGTGGGGGATGAAAGGCAGCAGCTCTGCCCGTGATCTCAAATTGACTCTGAAGAGGTGCATTTCTCAGGAAAGTCTTGATTCAGCTTTCAGAGGAGCAGCAGCACTGTATCTGGCTCTGCATTGAGAGGTGACAGTGTGGCTCCCAGGTGGGGAAACAGAAACATTTAACCAAAACACAGATGCCTCCAGTCAATAGTTGGCAGCCAGGTACTATACGCGCTCACACAGTGGCATGCATTGCAGGGACAGCCAAGGAGGGGAGTGACAAACACCAGTGTTACAGAGCAGCTGCTGTCTGCTGGGTTACAGTCTCAAGTACAATCACAACTGAGCTAAAAAAAAAAAAAAAAACAAAAAAAAAACCAACCCCACCCTTGTACCAAGCAGCAACATAGGAAAGGGTGAGGGAAGTTCAAAACTTGCCTCCAGCTGGTGTCAGATACACTTAAGTTAATTGTGGGAAGAATGAGCAGAGAACATCGTGTACAGAAGACATAAAAATTTCAGTGAGAAGAAAAAAGGAGTTTAAGCAAATACACAAAAGTTGGTTTTAAAATAAGCCTTGATGCTTTGCAGAAAAACAGAGGATGAGTGCAACAGGGGCTGCTGCGATCCCCATTTCCACTTCTAGGCTTCACAGGTGCCAGCATTCCTGGATCAAAGCTCCATGCTCCTAGAAGTCACCAACAAAACACATTTCCTGAGATAGTAATTTTTTTTTTCCCTGATATGCTGCCAGGGGTGTTTCTTCATCAAACACACAAAGCTTAGCTTCAAATGATTTGTGAGAACCTTGTTTTCAGCATCTAAAAAACACACACTCAGCTGCAGCAGCCCCTTCCAGCTACATGCCAGGATGCAGGCATGTGTCTTCTCCTACATGATTAACAGCATATTTCCAGTTATAAATCGAGATTTCAGAGCCACTGGTTCACTCTGTTAGGCAGTAGGCACAGTGAAGGCACCCTCAGTTATTCGCTGGAAAAGCTCTTGGAGAGCCCGGTGCTGCTGGACAGCTTCCAGCCACCACCACTTGGTGCCAGCAGTGGATTCTGCATGTGCACAACAGTAAGGCTGCAAGACTTAGAGGTACAGCACTCTCCAGTGTCACCTGAGGTGCTGTGGAAATTAGCCTAAAATATATTAGGCAATACTGATGGTCATTAGAAGGCGGTGGGATATGCAGGACAATTGAATGTGCTCCCCAAAGAGGAGAAAGGCAGAAGAAATGGGTACAGCCATAAGTCACCGGAGCAGATGTCCCAGTGCCAATCTGGAGCAGCCCGATCCATGCAGTCAGCCCATGTCCATACCAGCCATTAAAGAGACTACCTATAAGCTGAAAAAACACATTTAAAATACCCTTTTTTCTTCCCCACACCAAAAAATTAGGTGTGAAAAACATCTCCGTGTTTCTCTAAGAGAAGCTTCTTATATCTCTAACGATAATGTTAAACATAGCTTTCAGTCTGAATAACAGACTACCCTCTTTTGCTTCGATGCATACAAGAAACACTTCAAGTGAGGAAAGCAGAAGGCAAATAAAAAGAGATTGTTTTCTCTGTTTCCGCATCCCCTTAATTGCAGAACTCCTCACTGAAAGGCAATGCAAGAATTCACCACAGAATGACAGACCTGTAATCACTCTGCTCCCAGACTTCACTGCTTGTTTTGACTATCCCATCCACCTGTTCCCGAGGGAAATCAACTGCCAGCCCCTGAAAAGCACCCAGCCTGAGCCACTTCAGAGACAACACCATAAAAAGCATCTTTGTTCAGGAAAACGCTGGGACTTCTTGTACACAGAAGTTAATTTCCTCTCATCCTCCTTCTGCTGCCACCAGCTGCAGCACTCATGGCTGGGTAATGAGGCAGCTCCAAGGCTACAAAGCCACCTGGTGTAGGCAGCAGGACCTGCTCTGGGTCCTCCCATACACAGGAAGTGGACATGGCCAATGCCACCAGAACTCAAGCCATCTGTCTCACAAATGAGGAGTTCTCAGCTCTGACAAAGAATGGGGAAGCAGGAGTGAGTATGAAGCTAAGAGCTTAAGGCACAGCAGCATCACATCTCTAGGAGCTGCTTGCAGATTCTGGGTTCTGCAGGTCTCAGGGCAGGGCTGCTTTGCTGCTTCCTGCCCTGCTTCCATACTGCTTTCAGCCACAACGCTGCAGTGATTTGGAAAGAAAACTTCAAGATTATATTATTGGTGCTTTTTTTAATCTTACTCCGAGAACACCTAAAATCCTAGTGCTGAAACCCTTGCTCCTGAGCAACTATGAGTGCCAGGAATTGCTTCAAAGCAAGAAGCAGTGATCTGGCCACCAGACCTAAGTGTGCAAAACAGCACCATGTCTGCACTGCCTGAGGGGAGTGCTGGAAAGCCTGGACACCCAGGGACAGCTGAGCACCACCTGCAGCCTGCAGACAAAGTTCAGGGAATGTTGCCATTTGGTTTTTAAACCAAAGCCAAATACACATCACCCAAATCAGCAAGAACCTCAGATGTGCTGATGAAAACATAGCTCTGACTTTCTTCAACACCTCCCAAGCTGTTTGCACACCAAATTCAAGCCCATAAAGACCCACTAAATTAAAAACAAAAATAAAAACAGACTCCTGACAGCAGTGCATAGCTTGAGTCAACATGAGCCAAGGCTGATTCTACTCAGTGCTGTGACTCAAAGGAAGTACATGCACACTTTGCACTGGCTTCTCTTTATTTCTGTGTTACCACTACCTGCCATCATTTGCAGTATGCTCCCGTGGAAGCAGGAGGCCTCCCAGAGAACCAAGTGAGCAGTAGGCAACCAAGAAATTGCTAACAGCAGGAACTGTATTATTTCTTAGCCTTTGCCTTCATTATAAAACTCCAAGGCAATGTCAGTTTTCCAGAATTCCATGAAAAACAGAGCCCCCACATTTCTTTAACAAAATCAGTCTTCACATACTGCAATGTGGTTTACAAAGAAGTCTCCTCTCTCTTCAGCTGCACAGACCATCTTCTGCAGCCTGAACCTGGCCACAGCCCGATGCCAAAGCACAAACTGAGTCCTGGTTTGCTGCCAGAGACCCCCTCATGTCAAACAGCCAGGAGTGTCCCACACATCACCGCCTTGGGCAGAGAACTCTGCACACCCATGGAAATTAAAATAGTGCTGGCTGCAGAACAGCTCTCAAGCAAACACAGCACCCCTCAAATCTACTTAGAGGCCATGCTTGTGGAAATCAGAGCTGAGAAATGGTATAGATAGTGAACTCCTGATAGTTTTTAGTTTTGGAAAATACCACAGGGCTTTGAACTCCCAGCTCCAACAGGCACAGGAGTCTTCTGCTTGGTATTACTTTTCTCAGCAATGCTTCCAGCAGCCCCAGACACTCAGTTCACGGTGGGACTTGAACATCTCTATTGCACTGCCTTACCCTGTGACAATATAATTACAGCATCCTGAGCCACACGGGTTTGCTGAGAGCTGCTGCATGACTGCGCTGGTCTGTAAACCAGGGACGGTTATGAAACGTGGTCACATCGCACAGCTTTAAAAGGGAGATTAAGCACAAAGCACAGCATCTGTGCAGTGCAGGAGTCAGCATTTTCAAGTTATTGTTTTTTTTTCTTACTTTTCAGAACTCTCCTAAACCTATCTTCTACACTTTGATGCAGATATCTCTGAAAGATGAACAAACTGCAGCCAGGCAGCCCAGCAGCGTAACGCCTATCCTCTTACACATGTTCCTACCCAGCTGCATTTTAGCAAGCTGTTAAATTGCTAGGAAGGCTTCTTTTAGAAAAACAAACAGTGCATAGAGTCCCTAAAATCTCAAAGCAAGCACCTAAGAAAGAAATGTACACGTGCTTCTTATTACCCATTGAGATAGCAAGAAAAAAATCTACAAGGGCTTTTGGGTGGAGAGAAGAGCACAGAGGATAATTTTTGAACTTTTAATGTTGGTTAGACAAGCATCAATAACAGAAATATTGCTAATTCTGTCAGTTTTAAGAATACTTGAGAAAGGTGACCTGTTTAGAAAGGCAGCAAAGTGTGTGTAATAAGGAGCCAAAGGGATCTGGGAAATAATGATTTGTGGGGTAATATTCAGATTCACAATCTCTGACTCTTTAAAGTAGTATTCGCTCAAAGCTTTATTGGACAGGCTGTAATGCATTATTTATCTGCAAACTGCTGAAGCACTGGTTCTGTTTACTGCTCTAAAGAAGCACACTGCCAGGATCTCATCAAGTTGCATATACAACTCTGACAGAGAAGAAAAGCACTGTTCATCTTCCTAAAACCCAGCAACCTCATCTGTCCAGAAAAAAAAGAACAGTCTGGGAGGAAGCTGTAATGCTTGAAAGGGCACCAAATTAACTCCAGAAGAGAAAGCATGGCAAAAGTTTCTAAATACTTTTTAGTTGGAAAATCAGAGGTCTCCAAACAGTCACATTTGAGCTGTTCTGGACACCACCCTTGCACACCAGGCTGTCCAAGAAAGTCATTCCAGAGCTAGATAACACACAGAAACAAGTAACTGTTCTTCACATTCAGATGTGGCACTGGGGGACATGGTGCAGTGGACAGGTAAGCCACTTTCACAAAGGAAAAATCTTTTGAATGGTTTCCCTCCCTTTGCTCTCCGAAAGCAGCTTACATGAATACGTAGCAGCAAGGTTAAAAATGTGCATGTCAGCAGCAGTAAAATCCCTGCAGAACAAGTGCTTTTAGATGCTTTTGACATTTCTTTGGCCTTGGCACAGAACCACTGCCTGCAAGGGGAAAAATTAACTCCAACCACCAGCAACTTGTTACGCTTTAATGAGCAATTAAAAGAGGTTACATAAAGATGGCTGTACCTTACCTTCATCCTCATGAATCAAAATAACTTCCTGCCAGCTCTGAAAGGATCTGCATTTTGAAATTTCAAGTGTTGAGGGAATGAAATGAGAAAAATGTAAAGGAGAGGAATCTGTAATACTCATGTCTGATGAATTAGAGAGAAGCATTCACTTGACTGCCAGAGGCAGAGTGAGATGAAACAGAGCACACGGCTCCTCCTCTGCCAGCCAAGAGCCCAACTACCACTGCTGCTCTCTGCCCTGACTACATCACTGTCACTTGTGGCCTTGGCAACACTCCTGGTACCCAGACATGAGGAGCAGAGGAGCTCCTCCATCCCACATGCCCACTGAATAAGGAAAATGCAAAGTTCAGAAATGTAATGAGCTCCTGATCTCTCTGCAGCAAAGTCCATTGGCTGGTTGCACGTAACCAAGCCATCAGTCCGGAAATCCCAATAAAAGTCTCTGTGGAATCAATGCATGCAGTTTTATTGCAACAGGAGTACAAGTCTTTCACTGCCTGCTAGAGTTCATACTGTTTCTGCTTGGCCTTGGAGCTCAATTTACCAAGAGAAAATAAGTTAACTGCACTTTAAATCAGTTTAGCAGAGAAGAGGGAGTGAAAAGGGTAAAGCAGCTGCTCAGACCACCTCACATCACACGTAACAGCACAAAGTCAGAATTTTCAAGATGACCAGTGACACACGGCACCTCAGCTGTATTTTCAGAATCCTGCTTTTCATCTTACAGTCCCAGAGCTGGTTTGATACCACAGGCATGTACCTCATTGGTGGCAATAAGAGAGCTGGGGAAACATAACAAAACTAAGTGTGGAGATTGAATCACTGCTCTTAGCAGGTTTGGGGTGGCATTTCAGAGAGCAGAGAGGTGACACAGATGTGGAAAGCAAAGGGCTACCACTTTCCTATATCTACCTACAGAATCCCAGAAAAACGTAGGCTGGAAGAGACACAGGCTGGCTGGGTCTCTCAGGCCAAGAGGACCAAGGAGACTGGAAGATTTGGAACAGATACTATCAAGCAGAAATAGCGGAAGTGATGATGTCAAGAACTATCCATCTTCCTAACTCACAGAACTCACTCAAAACAGCACTACTTGAGACAAATCTGGACATGAGGAAGTATTACTTTTTGGAAAGGGTGGTCAGGCACTGGAATGGACTGCCCAGGGAGGTGGTGGAGTCACCGAGCCTGGGGGTGTCCAAGGAAAGGCTGGATGTTGTGTTGAGGGACATGGTTTAGTGGGAGCTATTGGGAATAGGTGAACGGTTGGACTGGATGATCTTTTAGGTCTTTTCCAACCTTGGTGATTCTATGATTCTATGAAATACTGCATATGGGACATACTGGCTGCAGAGCCTGAACTGCCTTTTTACTCCCAACTTATCACCCTTTGTGAAACTGATAGGAAAAAAGGGAGCTCTTCCAAAGATGCTAATACAACAGAACATGAAGAAAAAAAAGCCAAATATTTGTTTAGGGTCCCACCCTGTTGCTGGGTTGGTCTCCAAGGCACCAGGTCTAAGGCATGCAGCCTTAGCTAATCCATATCAACATGCAACACAGAAAGGATTCCAGCTCCGCTCACACCTCTAGGCACCAGTTTCAGAAGGCAGAGCTGGCACTGATACCTGTCATGGAGGAAGCAGCAGCACTTTGCATGCGCTTTCTGCTCTGGAAGACAATAGGAAAAAGCAGTGAGATATCAGGGAAACCACTGAAGCAGCCAAACCACAAAAAGTTATAACAAGTCATTAAAAGCTTCTCTTTGCCCTCTGGCTGTGGTTACATTTCTCATCTTTTCCCTCATAGCTGAGCTGATTGCTGAGTTCTCATGAAGTGATGGAAAATGTACTTTCATCAAAACAATAAGCAAAAGGGAAGAAAGTCGCTACGGTTACTTAAACACGCTGTCAGCATTTCACCCAAACAGAATAGGAAATGTCTGAGGCTTTGTCTGACCCAATCATCCTCAGAAAGTTTCTGCATGAATATTTTGGTAAGCAGAAAAAAAAACAACAAAACCAGTAAGAAGAAAATGGGTTCAGGTGGTCAGAAACCATTCTACCTCCACAGCCAGAAGAAGAAACTGACCCTCTTGTATACTAACTGCAGATATGCCTGGATCTGTCTTATCACATTTTAAGAGGCTGTGTTCATTAGAGCACTCCTTAGAAAAGGAACGACGTGAACCCACTAGGCATTGCGTGAAAAGCCACTTCACCGTGAATAAAACCATCAAACGTGAAGCAAGGAGAGAAGGTTTGAGATAATGTCAGAGAAGATAAAAGCATTGGAGGAGAGGCCACGTTATGTAACACTGAGGACAGAAATAGGTCTGCATTGCCTAAATCAGTGAGAATGACAAACAGAAAAATCAGATGCTTTAATATCCTGAATTCAGGAAAAAAAAAAACCCCACAGGTTTGGCAGAACAAAATCAGCACTGCACAGGTCAAATTTTCAGCTGAAATCATAAAAAGCATAGATCATAAAAATCATAGAAATCACACAGCATGGACTGTGTTCAAGGCTGCATACTCATTAACATACCTAGACATCAGTACCTTGTGCTGTGCACAGTTAACTTGTTAGAAAGGCATCTAACATTCATCAGAAAGATGCACAACTGACTGATAACACTAAGAACTAAAATCAGTACTTAACTGTTGCTGAAGGAAAAGAACAAGTATGAAAAGCTAAAAAAAAAAAAATCCTATTGCCTCTTAATGAGCAACGTGAGAACCCACAGACGAACCACTCAACTCCAGCACTGGGTTAGAGAAAATAGTTCAGTGCCTGATCACTGCCAAACACTGGAGAGAAAGTGGCAGTGGGAAACCACACCAGAATGGCAAGCAAGGACAGAGAGATTTCTAGACCTCTTCCCTTCAAGTTTTATCTTTGGTTTAACCTTAAAAATTATTTCATTGATTTTCAGTTTGTAGAGGAACTGAAGAATCAACACTTTCCAGTCCACTGAGAACATTTTTCCACCACCACTCTACTCCCCCTACAAATGCACAGCCCTGCCGCCAGCTTTAATGAACATTTAAATGAAGTTAAATGTCCAACTAGCTGGACAATTGCCCTCATTAAGGCTTTAGTCCTTGAGTCAGTTCGTTACATTTGTAAAACTCCAAATAAAAGGGGGAATCAATTCAGGTTCAGTTCACAGAGACCGATTTGATAGCAGCCTATTAAAAAGCTGTACTAGCTGAATCACACAGCCTGAGCACGTGGACATTTATGCATCAGACAGAAACACCAGCAATCTCTGAATACTACCTTAGCATATCATGGTTGTGAGAGGATCTTCCTGAGCACAAAATCCTCACTTGTGATTCAAAGAAGAACCTGGCTTTGCTCAAGGCAACTCAAACCTTCAGGCTTTTTCCAGTGAAAGGCAATGCATTAAATGAATCAGTTCCACTTGGGAACAGAGACAGACACCAAGAAATCTGCTGTTGCTGTTCCTGTATTCACATTACTTAAAAGAACCAAATGTTGAAGGTTGATACTTGAAGTCAAGTTATGTGACCAGGAGGAGTCTGGGAGTTGCTGTTAACTCATAGTAATGGAAAAATAAGGATGCATTCAGGACACATTGAATGACAGGAGATTCAGAACAGACAGACATTTCTTATTCAATCCTGGGTTAATGTACACTATAACAGAGGTCACCTAGCAGAGAACATGTATTTAGAAGATTCAAAGAAGGCTTGAATGCTTACGCAGCAGAAACGTTCAGAGTAGTGAAGCAAAGAAGGAATGAGCACAGATGAAGAGCTTTGGGAAGACGACAACCCCCGGTCCTTCAGGGCACAGTCTGCTCAGGAATGAGACAAACCTGCCTTGGTAAGGTAGCCTTACCTCCAGCTTCAGAATATCGTGCTGCAGTTTGCGCTGGAACTCAAGGAAGTGGGAGATTGTCAGCTTCCCCTTCAGATCTGCCCCAAAGAAGTAGGTTGTCAGTGCTGAGTTGAAGCCAGTCTTCAGGGTGTTCCCAGTCGTGGACCGGTCTCTGTGGCGCATGCCCATGCTGGTTTGAGAGCGAATGATGCTCTGAACCTAAAAAAACAAGAGGGAGCATGCTAGAACAAAAACCACCAGGGGGAATTGTAAATCCTGGTTAGCCAGCACGAGGTCCACCTTGCTCACATCATGTTTCCTTCCCCCTGTATACAAAACAAGTTCAGTTGTTGTTTTTTTAAATACTCAAAGGCTCTCTGCTGCAGTTTTAAGCTCCTCTATCACTAGAGCAGGCTGAGCCACAGAGAGGTCCTGTCCAACACAGAGTAAAGGGTTCTTCAGATTGTATCGACAAAAACAGGCCTCCAGCACAGCAACACACACTGCAAAATATCTGAGTTATCAGCAGACATATCTGCCCCAACACAGCCAAATGTGAAATCATGCACTGTAACAGCAATATCTTGCAAAACCTCTGTTCTGGGAACCATAGCAAACCACTCAGCATAGATGTCCTGGTCAAGATCAGCAGTCAAGAGGCTAAGTAAATCACTCAGAAAGCAAGAAGACAAGGATATGGGAGCAGCCATGGACACCAAATATACCAACACTGTAAACATCCTCCTCCTCCTGAGCTGTCTGGAAGGCCCACACAGCTCAAGCAGGTGGTACAACACAGGGCAAGGACACCCAGGATGAGTTCACCAGCCCCAACATACGGCAAAACATCAAACTGAAGGATGTGACAGCTGCAAAAAAAAAAAAAAAAAAAAAAAAAACACAAAAACCCCTCAAGAACTCATTATTCTAAGGAGGATTATTCTCCATGTGACAGCCAACTTCTTCCACTGTACGGCCCAGCCCCAGTGGGAGCAGAGGGAGAAGCTCCAAGGGGCTTTCTGGAGCTCCAACAAGACCCATGGCTTTGTCCTCAGCCTCGTCCTACCAGCACATGTTGGAAGGAATGAAAAGCAAAGGCAGCAGCTGCACATGGCTACAGCTGTCAAAAGGATGCTGGAACCTTGTTAAGGCAGTATACAGGATGTTACATTTTCTTGTTACAGTCCCAAAGGAGATGCTCTGGAGAATGTTGTGTATCCTTCCCAAGCTCACTGCAAGGAACATCTGAAGTCACAGGTCAAAACAAAGAAACAAGGGTTTTTTTTTGTTTGTTTGAGTATGCACTGTGATGTGAGGAAAGAGGTGCCCTTTGGTTTGTAATGCTGCTCTGGTACGTAAATAGCAGCTCCTCCTTTTGCTTTGTGCTCCACTTCAACTGTGAGCTCTGCACGCACATTCCAGGCAAATATTTAAAAACTGTCTGAAGCAATGCAGTTTATGACCAGCTGGTAAACCTGCCCCTTCTGCAAAGCAAACGCTCACCACACTGCAGGCTGAGTGACAGTGCATCTTCTGAGTGTGATTCAGACGGCATCTCACAGTTGCAGCCAGACCCGTGCCCCTCTTTCCCTCCCATCCATAGCAAATACCAGACAGTCTGAACATCCATCTGTGGGCACCGGAGCCAAAACAATTGGCCTGGTCCCTATTTTGGGTAATTCTGATAGCCAGAAGCACAGGCGCCCGCCGTACATTCTCCAGCCCAGCCAGCGCTGTCCTCCCCCGCACCTCATCGATCGCAGTTCTGCACAGACGCTTCACTGCTGTGTTCTTTGTTTTTTTTTAAAACATATTTCAGCCCAAGTGTTTGATCTGTTTCATCTTTTGTACCACACAAGAGGAAAAAATAATAAAAACAATCAATGAAAATAGTTAAAAGCAATGATTTGAAGAGAAACTCAAAGTAACGCTGCCTGCATGTTAAATACTTTTCATCCAACATTTTAATTAAAAATAGAAGTGCAGCCCACCAATTTCTGGTTTATATACCAGAGGATGAAAAGGTAAAAATGACAGTGATGCAGGCAGCAAGCAATTCAGTGCTCACACTGAGCATACGCATCAACACAAAGACGACCTGTGGCTGTTCCTTGAGGCACAAGAAATTAATACCTTCCTGTTAGGCAATGGAGCCTCTAACTCACACATCAGCTGCATTACTGAGTGACTGTTTTCCTTGACGAATACTCCAGGTTTTCAGATGTTAACGAAAAGACAAACCTGGTTTTGATTCTCTCCAAAAGGAGCATGAAATCCATGCCCATAGTCAACAGGAAGGCAGGACACTGAGCCAAACCATTTCTTTCCCTTTGCCCCAAAACAGCATTGCTCTACCTCTAGCAGTACGCTCCCCAGGAATGGGGCACTTGGAGCTGCTCCTGCCAGGCCCAGCTCACAGCACAGATCTTCAAAGCCCACCATCCTCTGTGCTCTTACCGAGGCCTTACCACAAGGAGTGAAGAAAAAAGTGCGTTTATTTTATAAATGATTACATCTGCATTTATACACACACAAAAAGAGGACGTGCCTCCCACCGAAGCGATGTGTTTACCTTAATTGTGTTTGCCAAGTGCAGCAAATTGGTTATAGCGTTATCTGCCCAGAGCAGATGGCAGCAATTTGATTTCACTGAGCGCTCGAGTCAAAAAGCTTGTGTTCTCAGACACTTCTCCTTGTTTTGATATTGCCATGCTCCTCTCACTTTCTAAAACAGCTCCTGCATCCTTTGACTCAAAGGCTCTGGAAAGATCAGTCTTCACCAATACATCCTGATGCTAAACAGTAATTTTATTCCTTTATATAGATGCAGTGACGCACGTAACAAGCTTAACAAAAATATGTTCTCCTTCCCAGGGATTTTTGTATGGCTTAACACACAGATAACTTCCTGATATTTGAGATAATTTAATTCTACCAGATGATTGGAGATTATTTAAATCTATTTTGTACTTTCATTTTCCAAGCACTTCCAAAATAGGCATCCTGAGGAAACATTCCTTCTTTCTTTACCCACGGAACAAAAAAGCCAAGCGTGACACCTGTGCTAATGCTTTGGCTTCACTGCAATTTTAGCAAGCAGTTAACTATTTTCCACCTTCCTTAAATTCAATTATCTGTGCATCGACCTCACTTTAGAACATTAGTAACTACTGCAAAGTACCTTTTTGAATTGTTGAATATTACTGGATGCCTGTGGTGCAGTACTATTACATTCATTTACTTCTCAAACTTACAAGGAAGAACAGTATTCTCGACTATGAAAAATTCTTCATTTCCTATTTAAGCTAAATCAGTTAGGAAGGCAGTGCTACACAGCACAACAACACGGACAGTGCTGTGAATTCAAATTTGCACTCAAAGGCAACTCCCGAATTTATGTCACACACCACTCCTTCAAGATGTGTCACACTGGAAATAAAGCACACTGCTGCTATTGCAGTCCAAATCTTGCACCTAAAACCACAGCTAATCAGATAAATTGCACAGCTCTGGAGCAAACTGATAATATCACAGCTGTAGGAAATAATTTGAGGATGGCAGCAGAAGATTGGAAGCAATGGGGTACGTTTAACAGATCTGCTTGGCTACTTGCTCTTTCCATTTACAGCTAACCACGACCTCTCACAGACTTGTCTGTAGTTAACCACTCATTCAACCAACCCTGTAAGTAAGAATTTGTAAGTAAATAAGTAAAAGTAAAGGCAGGTTATTTTTTCTGACCATAGAGTCTCCTCCTTTGCCTAAATGCAACATCTTCCAGTTGCCCACTGAACACTCAGCCCCAAGAAATGTGGAATAAGAGACAGTGTCTGAGGCCCCATGGATATCTGCCAGATGAGATAACAGATAGTGATGCAACATTCCAAATCTTGGTGAGGGAAAAGCTGAGTCCTGCTACAGCTGGAGAGGTCAGACTGTTTCCCCACTGACCGCCCAGGTCTTCACTTCAATCTGTTCTTGCTGCTGCAGTATCACAAGTCACACCATATATGAAGGTATCATTTGCATCATACACACAGGCTAAGCTCTTTAAAAAGTCAGCCTGCAAACTCTCTGCTAATGAAACTTTGCAGGAAGCAAAGGAAAACTAATGGAAACACCCCTCAATAAATATTTTTATGTTTACATTGAAATGAACTGGCAAATTCCTCTTAGAAGCAGATTAGCTCTTGTTATTATGTGAAGACAAAAGTAATAAATTCAGTAAAAGCCACAGGAGAAAGTAAAATCAAAATCCTCTGACACGAGCAGCAGACACTCTACAAATGACACTTTGCAATGATACCTTTGGGACAAAATCGTTGGAAACAAGTTTAAAGTTATTCTGGCTCAATGAAAAATTATATTTTTTTTAAATAAAAAAGAGCAGAAATCAAGTCACAAAAGCAGAGCACAGGAGGAAAAGATGTAAGGTAGCAGTAACCACAAAATATAAATCACAATAAATCCTGGAGAAGAGCTGCTGGTACAATTAAGACATAGCAGCACTGAGTCAACCCGCCATCCAACTCACCTGCTCAAACTCTTCCATGTCCACTTCACCATCGCCGTTCAGGTCAAACATCTTAAAGGCAATTTCAAAATTCCTTTGGGGAGCTACGTGGAAGAAACATAAAAGTTAAAGAAAATACGCAAGTTCAAAACAAGGCAGGAGTCACAAGCTCAGAATGATGCCATCTGAAAGTAGATTTCTACAATGCTTTTTTTAAGGAGAAAACGCAGCTCTCAGGAGCCTTTACAAGTGTCACAGTGCTGCTTTTAACAGTAGTCTAGATACAGAGATTGGGGGAAAAACGTTTCTTGAAAAAAAAATAAAATGTAGTATTCCTTTAATAGATAGAAAAGGCAAGAAAGCAAAACATCATCTCATATCTGTAATGAGCAATCAAAAGCAAGTGACACCACAGCAGGAACTGAAGCCTGTTGGGCATGGTGTAATACACACTTGGCCAGTTGATGTCCCTGTGTGCTCTGTGCAGCAGCTGCTGGTACAGAGCTGGACAGGGCTCTGGGTAATTCTCTTCCAGACTCAAGCTCCTGTCACTGTGCAAATTTAAACAAATCATTACCAACCCTGTTTCAGTACAGATATAACACAGATCAGACATGAGCTGGAGATCACCAGCTGGAACCCAAATGAGACTGTGGCACCCTATTTTTCACTGCACTTCTTCTATGTTGTTAGGCTTTATCTAGCCAGAATTGCGTGAATGCATCAAGCTGACAAGCTAACTTCATAGCAACCTATTACAGCAAAATTGCACTGCTATTGTGCATCCTAAGGAATTCCAGTAGATTTCCATTCCAGGTTCTGCAACCCATCAACACTTGAGTTACAGAAGTGCCATAATTTTTTCCCCCAAATTAAGCCGACGTAGGAGAGTGCATATTGTTCCACTACATTCAAATATACGCCACCTACACGGATTTTGGTGTTCACTAGGATTTGCAGGGAATCCACCAGGCTCTAACTAGTGCTCAAGTTACCTTAAGCAACGCAGTTCAGCCCTCTGTTCTGAAGGGCGTTCTTCCCCCCAGAGGTGGCAGCAGGATGCAGGTCACCAGTGAGGCTCAGCCCCCTTCAGCCTCATCCATTTTTAATCAACTTTAATATTTCTTGCAATGCTCAAAAAATAAGAAGAGTTTCAGCAGCCATCTCTATGCTAGCACCTCTCAGGGATGGGGGCACAAAGAGGAATCATTCAGAGAAATTAACACAGAATTAACTGAACTGGATTTATGCATTGGTTTACAGCTTAAATTTAAGGCCAGAAGACTTTTACATTGTATTTCCCCTTGCTATAATAAGCTGCAGCACTTTATGGATTCAGCAAACATGTTAATTAATGAGGTTGGGTTTCCAATCACTTTGAGACTTACCGAGATGTACAACACCATTAAACCCGACAACAGAAATGGCCTGTTGCCCCCCACAAGAAATATACAGGTCCGCAGTTATCTCTGGGTTTCCAATTCCCCCACACTACACAAGCCATTACCTGGGCTTTAAATCACAAACACTGAAACACCCTATATGAGGGATGTGCCCTGCAACCATGTCAATATCCAGCAGCACACTAATATTTCCCCTTCCCTGTGCCACTCTGAAGCAGAAGAGATGCCTCCATCCTGTCTCATTCATCCTGCCCAGGTGGGGAGACCCATGGACGGGTCAACCCTAACTACAAACCCCCCAATAATGCAATGTCATGATGGGATTTACACTAATTCCTCATTTCCTCGAAGAGTGACAATATTAAGAATCTTCCAGCTACTCTACTAATAATGCATCCATTTCATTCATTGTAATTACAAGTTCCACATGAAAACCTGCAGGCATTTCTTTTCATTAGCCCCACAATCTAGTGCTGCGCTGCAAGTCATTTGCTCTGTGAGGAAATATGGAAACACAAAATGAATCCAGTAACAAGATGCTAGCAGAAGAGTAGTTTACTTACAGGTCTCTTCCTCCCATTTTCCCTGCCACAGCACAATAATTCATAAGCTGAGATTGCCAAAATTGTTTCTCTTTGTCAAAATATTTTATCTTTTTCTTCTTCTCTTCCTTAAAGCAAATATATCACAGTCCACTCGTGGAAACATAGCATGAACAGAGAAAGGAAGCCACTTTTATCCTATGTGTGCTAAGGCCATTCCTTTCCTTTCCCTTCTCTAAATGCAGAGAACAAGACCCAGAGAAGAACATTAAAGCAAGCAGTTCTGCAACAAAGTCCTGCAGTCATTATTTTCTAGCGACAGGAAAGTGACTTTAAATTGGTAAATTCAATTACTTCATCCCTTTAATAAGCCAGACAGACTGTTTTGTCCTCCAGCTCATGTACCTGCCATCAGCTCTCTGCAAAACCTCTCCCAACCAACAAGTGTAAATCATGGGAATGAGAAGGCAGCAGAGGCTATGAGCTCAGCCAGCTCCTGCTCAGGAACATGTGTCCTTCAGTGTGTATGCCCGTGGGCCCCAGACAGCCCATATTTATGGGTCCCAGGTGAGACGGCTGCTGCCTCTCCACTCAGGCACAAGGATGCTGACCAAGACTTACTGGGAAACAACCATTGTGACAGCAGCTAAATGAAGCTCTTTCACACCATGCCCATCACTTGCGGTTACATCAGCCTCTGCCACTTCCACCTTGCTTCCTTTTATGCTTGCAGAAACTTGCACACCATTAAACTCACTGGCAGGAGTTTGCCTGCCTAACACCTAAAACCCATCCCTGGCTTGTCCCCAGTATTACACTGCATTTCCTGCTCTTTGATTGTGCAAGCCATCTCCTCACAAGCCTCTCTGACATTATTAAGGATCGAGAGCTTTTCCTTACAACCAATTTCCCAGGAGAAGCAAGGCAGAAACTGGCCGGGGCAACTGCATTTTTTTTTTCCAACTTTATTTCTAGGCTATAACAGTTCAGTAAGAGAGTTCAAACACAGGACTATCTGCTCACATGAACATTTTTAAATTTGAAATTGGCTGACAATTTAAAAATGGCTTTTGTTCTTAAAGAATTTGTTCAAATACAGTGTTTTGCAACAGAAATGAGGGAAGGAGACCAGAAGGCACACACACGGCAGCATCAAGAAGACAGCCAGCCTTCACCAACCAGCAACGCTGCCACACTGAGAACATCCACCTGGCCTATCAGCACGAAGCCCCAAGGTATCTCCAAGCAATTAGATAAGGCACTTTTTACACCAATTCCATCATTTTTAACTATTTTGAATTATTCAAGGGACCAATTTGCAGCACTCAATTGCTTTTTATTGCCATTTACTAACCCCAGAAGCAATGTATTCTGAAAGGCTCTAAATGCCCACTCTTGAGAAATGCCACATCTCACTACTTTCACACTTGTTTAATCTTCTTTTCCCCTCTTTTAGGAGAAAACAGCATTCTACACTTAAAGAGATGACTCAACAGGTCTTTCTCTGCAACTGCTGTAGGACCTCCTGCAGCACATGACTACAGATGCATCTATACAGCATCTGTCTTGGAAGAAACAAGCATTAGGAAACCTATTTCAAACACCCTTCTGAGCTGACAAGATCAGCAAGGCAAATACAGCCAGGCAAGACCACTTTCTTCCAAGCACTTGGAGTTTGCTTTGTTCAATACCTTTGCACTGATGAGGGGATGTTTGTAAGGACTGGAGCACCCTCACCCCAACAGCCATCTGCAGCACTCTCCACCACATTGGTTTTTTGGTGAAGGAAGATTACCATGGCTCCTTTCAGACGTAGTTCAAAAATTACTTGCCAAGGCAGGGCGTCTTGGCAATGTTAGGAAAGTACAACTTCTGGCTGCTCTTGTACTCTTACAGAACATCTTGTCTTCGGTGGGAACTACAGCAAGAAGCAGCTCAACTCCAACATCCATTCTGAAGCCCAGCAACCCCACACGCAAGTCTAGTGTAGGGAGATCAAGATTCCAGCTGGGGAACCATTTGGAGAAAAACTAGTCATTAGAAGTTAAACACTCCAATCTCTTCTTCTTCATCTATCACTAAGTTAAGAAAATGCATTTTCTTCAGCTTTGGGAGATGTGCATCTTTATAATCAACCCAAAATTAATACAGTCCTCCTACAGTAGAGGAAAATCAACTACAGAGACGGCTGTTAAAGCCTCACAGCTATAACAATACACACACAATGTTTTTCCAGGCCACATTAAAAACATCTTACCTTCTCCCTCCAAAGATTAATCAGGATTTTTCCACCTTCAGTTGCATGAATCAATACGGCTATTATTCTGTCCCTGTGTTTTAGCCAAGAAATCTCTCCCTCTGTTGGAACTGGAACATTTTTATGGAAAGAATCAGGGTCAGAGAAAAGCTTGCCCTGACAAGACTGCAGCCAGTAGCAGTATCTGGTTTGGTGCATGTGATCACAAATGCAGCAGGGAAGAATTTGACAATACAGCTGAACATAATGATCTCCCAGTACTGCAATATTTTTTGAGAATGGAGTAGAAGCCCAATGGGAAGCAATTGTTCATGGAATACAAACGTCAGAGCCCTCATTACAATGAAGACAGAAAAATACCATCATATTCCTGATCTTTTTTTATTTGAATTGCTCCTTTATTTCTGAAAAACAATGCTAGTCTAACCAATTGAACAGTTCTGTTATAAATAATAACACTATTAAACAGTAACAGTTATTCACATGGAACTACTGTAATCAAGTCTGCAGCATGAAGACTGAGCTACAGGAACTCACTACTGGAACTGGTGCTACCTGTAAACAGCCAACAGTCTTATCACAAGGAAGAATCAGAATTACCTCTGGCTGAAATAACACAAATATGTCAGAATTAATCTTAGCATACAAACCCACTAAAACGCAGGTTTCAGCTTTAAGGCAGACATGAAACCCCAGAAAAATAAATTTTATTTTCGAACTCCAGCCAAAATGTAAGATACAACACTGCTTTCATGAGTGGGAAAGTGTCTTTCCTGCATGGCAGAAGTCCATCCTACTTGCGTTACTAACGAAAGTAGCACTTTTGTTTTCCAGGAGTCCTACCTGCGTGCTGGGAAGCAGAAAATGGTAGCTGTAGCAGCCCAACAACTTGCCAAAAAAGTCGTTTCCCAACCAGAAATGCTTCGGCAGCATTGCCTGGCTTGCTCTCAATGTGAGATGCCTGCATCCAGGACAGCTACATAGGTGCCACCTCTGGGACCCAGGAGGCTGGTGGGATTGAAGACATCCCTAAACCTGTGTATGCATACTGGGAGACTGAAGGGCTTGAAAGCTTAAAGTAATGATAAAATTAACATGAACAAATATTCTTAGTAACTCAGAGCAACCTCATTTCCTTTTCTTATAGAAACAAGCTGTATAGCAGTTGGTGTCGCTTTGCAGGATGAAAACACCATCAGTAAGATTACAGACCTCACTTTTGTGCCGAGCCCCACAAAAGGCTCATGACACAGTCAGAAAGTCATTCCCAGAGCTAGCTGCTTTGCCATTTACTCTCTAAACAGGAAAAAAAGAAAAAAACAGAGATTCAATCTATTCCACACAAGAGGTTTCCCGGGGGCCATTCCTGCAACAGCACTGGGAATTTGTGTTGCAGCCAGGAGCAGGGAGCAAGGAAATGAGAAGTGTCGCTGGTTGGTGTGGCACTTGGCACAGAGCCCATAGTGCACAGGGAAAGGAGCTGCACATCAGCTCTGAGTGCTGGCAAGGGAGCAACTCCTTTGGCATGAGACTATATTATTTAAACCGCTTTCCTCATGGAGTAAACCCAGACACAGTGACAGTCCAATTACGGAAGCACCAGTAACTCATTCTGCTAACATCCAGCTCCTTCCAGTACCCGTTAATCAGGCAGGCATTATCATGCCTGTACAACAGGCCACATTCCTTCTCAAAAGCTCCCTCTCCCCTTCCTCCAGCTGCTCTGTAAGTCCAAAAGCAAAAACCTCATTGCCTAGGGAGGCAACGTCTGCTTTCCAATGGCAATTAAAGGAAAGGGGTGCAATCCCACCTGTGCTCTGCTCACCTCTACTCTGCTCATAATTCTACCTCTGTACCAGAATACAAAGAGCAGCTGAAGCACCAGAAGCCACGTGCTCTCCCCCAGAGGCCATTCAAGCTCTAATTACCTTTAATAGAAGGCAGGCTTCTTGAAGCCAGCTATTTTATTAGCTTTTTTAAACTACATTTTCACAGAAACACGGCAACCAATGAGAACAGACAGTGTTAAAAGCGAGAAATCACTTGTAAATAGAATATGGTGACAGACTTCATTTCATGTGCAATATGCAAACAGCTCTCTGCAAGCAACATGCAGATGAAGGCTTCAGCCCTCTCCTCTCCTCCCTCCCCAACAGCTGATACTCAGCCTGCATTTCAGGGAATCAAGTCAAAATGAGCTTCAGCTGCAGAGATATGGAAATGGAACAAGCCACAAGAGACAGCTCTAGCAGAGCCCAGCAGCACTTTCAGAAAAGGGTAAGGAGACCGGCATATGGAGTGCACAGGATGGGCACGAGCCACCCCAGCACTCACTGGGCCATGACCACCCCAAGGAGCACAGCAAGATGCAGCCCTCTGCTTCCTTAAGTTTTCTGTTTCCAAAGGTTAGCATCTTTCTAAGCTCAATAAGCCAGACCTGATCATCAGTGATGTCTTCTCGTAACTTCTGAGCACAGCAGAGAAGCATCTCTTCCTCCCACCACAGACTCAACCTCATGGTTCCCTTCTAAGCTTGATATGCCATCTTCCAAGTTAGTATTTTGCAACTTTTAGCTATATAGTGTGATCTACATCTCCCTGTTGTCCAAACACATCCTTAACAGTAGAGTCATCTTGAACTCTCAGGTTCAAGAAACATTTGCTTCCTTGTATTTATTTAATTCCTAGAAGGAAAACAAAGCACTATTAGATTCCTGCAAGGTAATGTTTAAAACCAGGTGAGCAGAACAGGCAGGGTCGCATAACAGGGGATTTCTATCTTTGCAACAGAGCAAGATTTAGTTTTATTTTCAAAAAAGCAAATGCTTTAAAAATGAAAGCACAAGTCTTCCTGGGGGCAAACTGCCATTTAACAGCAGCTCCGGAGATGGTCCTCTATCTTCAAGAGCCATTTAGCACAGTTCTTGAAGGACAAGCCAACACAAAAAGGAGCCCAAAAATCCTGGAATGTTTTCTTTTTTCCTCCTAACAGAAGTTTCTACCTTGCCTGCCCTTCACATCGTTCTTCAAAGCAAAAACCACACAATTCTTTCTCCTCTTGTTAGTATGATCCCCTAGTAATTATGGACATGTTTAGCACCCTGAAAGTAAAAGAGGAAAACCATTCTGCCTGCACAATGCTCTAATGCAAGGCCAGCTAATAATCCAGTGCAAGGTGGTAAACTGTTTTATTCTCACCACAAATAAATTAAACCAAAGCAGGAAGAATTTGTATTTATTTCTGCTGTCTGTGGAAGCACACGCAGTTTGTTTGGCATGGTGCACACTTGCTTCACAGCTTGTTCACAACAACTGGTGCAGCCATAAAAAGACAAGGGCAGTGCTTGCTAAGCCACATTCAGTAATGTGATACGATAGGTTTGGCTCTGCCATCTGCAGAGACTTGAATAAAAAGCACTTGCTATAAAAGTGAAAATAACTCAGATAATTTTGGCACAGTCTGGACTAACAGAAAAAAAGAACGGCAAAAATCTTGAGTCAGCTCTGAGACTCAAAGATGCAGATTAAAAATCCAAAGGAAAATCCTTGGCTCGAAGCAGTGTCATATACCCGTGTTTGTTTTTGCAACACGAAGGTCACATACAAGCTTGCCCTGTCAGGGCAGGGTGACAACCAGAGCCTTGAAGCTTGTCCTGTCACAGAGCCCCCAGAGCGAGGTGTTCAGCAGACCAAGGGCTGCCTCTTTCATTCGCCCACGTTACAGCATGCAACTGCACAGGAAAAAATACAGCACCTATTGCTTCTTTAGAATGCCAGCGACTTACCCGACTGACTGAGTGGGGATTTAGAAAATAACATGCCAAGTACCAGGATTTTGGTTTTAATAACTTTGTCAAACAGGAGAAAGTTTGGCCCTATAATCACGTTTTGTTACCACATATAAACATTTTTGCAAGTCTGAAAATAAACTGTTGCCATTCATTTGGAAAGCAGCACTGTTCTCTTCCAACACAACTGAAAGAGAACGAGGAATTGGTTAACTTCTTTCTTTGCTGGTGATATGGCATCTCCTGAGGTGCATCACAAAGACAGCCCTGTGCTTGCTTTCCCCATAAGCAAAGTCTAGAAATGCCATTCAACATCACCAAATTCTTCAGCTTCGCCCTTCTCTGCCAACAAAGTAAACTGAAGTCCCAACACTCAGAGAGCAGAAGGCTTTGCTGGGACAGAACAGCAGATCACAGAAATACCACGAATGTAAGTCAAGCGGTGAGAGAAGATAGAAGGTATCTAATGATGTTTGTTGAAATGTAAACTGCCTAACTTCTCATCACATTACATCCAGCACAAGTGTGAGCTTACCAAATACAGCTGAAGAAGAGATTGTACAGCTCATCCAAACAGCAGTATCATATAGTTAGCAGAACTCAAGAACAACTGTCCATTTACAATTTTGAACAGCAGGTCAAAGGATCCGTTCCATAAAAAGCCACATTCTTAATTAAGAAATACTGCTTTGGAAGTCATCGATCTGCTCATCTTTCTGAACTACTGAAGCTAAATCTGAGAGAGATGAAGCAATGGCAATTGTTGACCCCGCTCTGGTTTCAAGCAATCAACAGCCCCTTTTAGGGAAATGTATGCAGAGCACAAGGGAAAGCTTATTGATGGTAAAAACTCCAAAACTTAAACAAAAACAGTAATTGCAAGGAAAAAAAACTGTACTTACTGGAAAGGACTGTTGTGAGGAAAATGTAGTCTGAAAAAGAAATGAGTCCACATTCCCCAAGCGCATAAAATATACTGTCTTCATCAGCAAACTTTTCTCGCTCCTGAGACAACTTCTGTTAGTTCATTCGACCCCAATCCCAAAAAGAGAAAATAAAGCAATGAATTAAATACAGAACCAAAAGGCTTTGTGTCCTTACCACCAAGCCATTCATGTACACACATCCCTACTGTCATCATTCATATTCAATGGACCTTTTCCAGCCTTCAAATCCATCAGAATTGGTCTACAAAGGTCAGTGCTTCCTTATCTCAAATCAGGGATAAGGAATTGCACAACAGTTGGATAGAACCAACTGAAATACAGATAAACTAGGTCAATTTTGCTTAACATTGCCTGAATCTATGAGAGAATACAGTGCTATATAAATCAGATTTTTGAGAATATAAGATTTCCAAAGGAAATTATCAGAAGTCATTAATAGCATTTTCATTTTTAGTTGTACCCTGTAGTAGTAGCCAAGGAAATCTATTTCACACAAATGTGGAGTATGATCAAACTTACTGTAAGTGTATAGCAAACAGAAGCACACAGTTCAGGAGTGAGCTCACCGAGAAGGACCAGGACTGAGACCATACTCTGACTTTCTTGTTCCACTTCTTTTCCAAAATGTTGAAGTTTTAATAGAAACTACCACGTGTTTTATCACCTGATCTCTTTATTAAGCTAAAAATCCAAGCCACTTTGATCTGCTGAAGCTTCAAAGACTGAAAAGGATCCATAAAACTGTTAAGAGCTGCATACTGAATTCCACACTGGTGACCCATTTTAAGAACATGGCAGAAGGAGGCACGCACACACACACACAGAGGAAAACAAAATTAATGTAAAGAACAACAGGCGTGGATGGGGTTATTTCATAGAAATCAGTTCATGCAAGCACAGAAGCATGGTCAAGGCAGGCTGAATTCAGGATCAGCTTTAGGAAAACCACCAACAAACACCACCACACGAGGGCCCAGCTCCACAGCTGTCCCCCACTGTTACCTCTGTCTAGCGGAGATCCCATCATATACAAGATAAAGGAAAGAAAACTGGTTAACCAACAATACAACAAGCAGACAAAACATAACATCAAGTTGAACAGTTAGACTTGCAAGGAGCAAGAAGGTGTTGAAGCAACCAGGTGGTTGCTTGGACTGAGGGCTGCTACAAAGCCTGGGGCCACATCCCAGCAGGGTTAGCACCTCGCCCCTGGGGGTCAGAGCCACGGGCTGCAGGCTGGCATCTCTCATCCAGCCCAGTTTGAGAGAACTCACCATTGCAGGTGGCAGCAGATTGGGGATGAGTTCAGCTATTAATTTAGATGAAAATTTAACCCGTATCTGGCTTGGAAATCACAAGAAAAGAGACAAAAATACACTTTTCAGGAAAAACGTTCAGCTCTATTGATCAAGCACAACTCTTTACAGCAGCTCTTCTTTATTCTCAGGAGCGCAACAGGAATTTAACAGGAGGTGTGTCTCTCACAGCAGAGAACATTAATGGCATTCATTTCACGCAAAGCAACTGATTTATGCTTACAGGATATCAGGTTGAAGCATCGTTTACTAAAATGCTTTTGCCTCCTCTTCCCATCAAGGCAGTTCCCACACAAAGCAGCCTTCAAGCCAACACATTAAGGGCAAAACCACCACCTGGCTTTCCTTAAAACTAAAGGAAAGATCAAGGAGAAAATCAGTTTCCTGGTATTGCTCCCTGATGGTGCCATCAGCTGCATCTCACCTGCTCACGATTCATTGCCTTGAACACCTTTCACCAGCATCTACCACAGACTAGCTGCTAGCATCCACCTGCTTCATTTGCTCTAAGGACCCCATGAGGAAGGTCCAGAAGTTGATTTATTAATTTCCAAGGGTTCCACTTCTGTGCTTAAAATTCACAGCTAGCAAACTACTCAAACAAGTCTCCATAAAATTAAAAACCAGATCCACAGAATAACAATAAAATGGATATAAAGTCTGCTGCTCTCTGAAACATAAAGGTTTAGACAGATAGGAGGGAGAAGCATTTACTCATTTGCATCTTAAAGTCAATAAAAAAGGCTTTTTTTAAAGAAAAATTTTTTATATATTTGTCTTTTTTTTTTTTTTTTTTTCCTTTCTAGCTTCACTGCTTTCTGTGGAGCAGGGTAGAAGCCCTCCCCACTATGAGAAAGGCTAAGAGCATTTTTTTTATCCTCTTTACAGATAACATTCTCAAGATTTATATTTCCTCATAGAGGAAGAAAACAATCAGTCAACTGTTTGCTCAGTGACAAGTGGATTTAGGCTTAGCTGCCATTCTGTTGTCAGCTCACACACCCGAGTGTTACAGGTGCTCCCCTAATCAGAAACCCACCACAGAACAACAGCAAGGGTTGGGATGCATCAGCTCACATCAGTTTAACACTATTTGGGATGAGAAGAGGATCTGCAATTGGCATTCTGTGAGATGTGTAGGGCAAAAGCAGACCAGTAAGCATGTCCAGCTGAAAACTTCCAGCATCAAGCCCATACTGTTGGCTGGACCCAAAGCTTTCACAGACAGGTGGCAATTAACAGAAGAAAATGTTATTAAAAAAGGCAAATACTCAGCAGGTGGATTTTACTTATACATACACAAAAAATACACATCACCTATGAGCAAAGGCTTCCCAGCCAGGTAGCACATCAGCCTGCCTGCACTACCAGGCTTGTTGTAGGGGGGGCCCACAACCTCCAGCACCAAGTGAATTTTCAGAGTGCTCGGTTACAAGTCAGACATCTTCAGTGTAACGTTTTTCTCTATCTTAACTCCATTCCCCAAAGCAGAACAATACATTAAAACACTCAGTGCTACCCCAAGTGCATCCCAAACTCAGCATGTGCAAGTGAACAGGGCAGGCAAAGGGTTTACAGCTGTGATGCCTCCTGCCATCAGGCAGTAAACTTGTGGCAAACACACACACAGAGCCCCATTAATAGCTGCAAAAGAAAGCAAGCCAAATATACAATTGATTTCAGCCCAAGCATAACTGGGCAAGGTGAGTGACAAACCACCAGTCATGGTGGAATAACTCTACGCACAGGTAAATTCTCTTACAGTATCACTAAACATCAACAGCAGGTAAAAAAAAATAGTAGCTTCTCAAAATGCCAAGCTTGGTGTGCACCTTCCAATTCAGACACAAGCAGCAGCTCAAAGACAAGCACCTCTCATGAAATAACTGGTGTTTTCCCTATACACCACCTGAGTTAAGCACTCATCTCAGTGGTACCCACTGAGGGGAGCAAACAGCCCCACAAGTGACTGTGAACGAAGTGGAATGCCACATGCCTGCAGATCCCCAGACTGTGTGATGCACAGAGACTGCAAGCAAGCAAAGCACCCAGAAATGTAACAAAATTCCACATATTCTGCCCCAGAACTGGTCAACTACAGGAGCACCCCTCAAGCCAAATGCACAGTGCAGCTCCTAAGCAAAGGCAAACATAGATGAGCTGAATCAAAGCTTCAAGTTACAAAAGATTTGGAAAACCCGCTTGTTCCTTCCTTTGCTTGCTGAACATCACCCTTACTTTGGATGACAAAGTGGTTTTTTCCAGGGATGAACGAGGAGTGAAAGGTGCCAGGGAGACACAGGAGCAGTGTGCCAACCCTACCACACAGAGCTGGGATCACTGGCATGAACTCATGGTTAACAGATCAAACAACACGCTCAGTCTGTTTAATACTGGATTAAGCAAATCTAGAGGAGGATGCAGTTCTGGAAATTAATAACTGCCATCTCTGGTTTTGTTCTGCGCTCCTGACTGCAGCTAGGAAGCTGTATCAGCAAAATCCTTGCAGACCCACTTTGTTCTGCATTTCAGAACTCCTTAACGAGCAGCACTGGACTTGCCACTTTGGGAAGAACATACACTTGGTAATTCACTTCAAGATGTCAGTGCATGCTCCAGTCCAGAGAAGAAGACATGCATTCAGCACCATAATTCACATAACGTCTCTGTGTTTCAGTATCACCCTGGTACTTTCTGCAGCCGACCTTCAGGAAGTCATCAGCCCTCCGCCCCCACCCACCAGTGATTGTCTTCCAGAACCAACAAAACATGACAGTACATGCAAGACGAGCATATCTCCAGAATCAGAAAGTAATTTTGTGAAAGGAATTTTAGGTGAGCCATAACCATCTCTTATCGATATCGTACAGAGTTCATTCCTTTTTAAAAGAAACATCTTAAAGCTACCAGCATTACTTGAGAAATACAAAATTGTGAACATTTCAAATAGTGATAGCAGCTTGCTGCAAAGCATTCTGTTCCAGTCCCAACTGACCACCCTCAGTTATGCTAACCATTAAAAGACGTTCATACACTTCTCTTACCATTAACAATAGACAGAGGAAAAGAAGTTTAGAAATGCAGAAATATTTTTGTTTCACAGTAGGGGGTACTGAAAATCTCTGCTATAAGTTTTCCCAATACATACATTTAAAATCTCCGATTAGGTCTGTCCTGAGTTTTCCAGCTTCATAAAGTGAAGCTGTAATTTTTGTATTTATATACAGCAATAACTGTATTATTGCAGTTTGGGAACATGCATCTCAAAAATGAAGATGCATCTAAAAGAGCACATGACCAAGACGGACTTTATAGAAAGCAACCCCCTGCAGTCTCATGTCAATTTCCACCTTATTTTTATCTGCCTTATAAACTCTTGCTAACCCTAAGCTGTTGTCAAAATGGTAAAGCTTGGGAATTGCTTTTCTTTGGGAGGGGCTGACTGGGAACCCCATTCCTATTTGTGAACACCACATTAAGCAGCACATATTAAGATTATGCACCATTAGTCCTGCTGGCATCCATCTTGACCCGTGGAGGTTTAACTCAGCAGACAGCACCCTTGCGAATAAAAGCCTATTAGGAGCTCCACTGCTGCTGGAAGAACAAATCTTCCCATCACATTTATTGGACAGCCCTTTTAATGAATGCATTGTAAATGGTCTTTAGCACCTACCACTGGAGTTGTTTGACATCTTTAAAAGCGGTGCTTGGCCCCAGGCAGCACTGAGGCACCACGTGTAAACAGGCAGCGAGGAGGCTCCAGCTTGCCTTCTCAGAGCCTGCAAGGCAGTTGGCAGGGACGGACCCAGCCCCTTTCACCTGGGAAATGGCTGTGCAGGCTCTTGCTGCAGCACCGCATTAGTCCGTTGCAAAAGTAAGACAAGGAAAAGCTTAAAGGAAATGCCAATGCAAGCTGCAGACAATCTCACCTCAGTCACTGACAATATTGAACTTTGCCTGCACCCAAACGCTTAGCTAGCGTCTGAAACAAAAGGGACTGGTTTATTTTCACTTGTTTTTCTGAAGATGGGAACTTTAGAGAATGAAAGCCACGAATTTAGAAATTTTATGATACAACCCATGCTGGCACCTCATGCCTACAATAAGAAAAGGGAAAGAAATAGAAAGGAAAAGGCTTTCAGAAGCAGACAAACACAGAGCCTTTCAGCCTCTGTGTTCCAAAATCCTGTAGGGAGAATGGCAGGACAGGTTCCTGTGCAAGGAAACAAGGACAAAAAAAAGAACGTGAGGGGGAATAGAGCATTTCAAGGCATTTTTTAAAGCTACCTTTAGAATGGGGATGTGAAATCATTTCAGATACAGTGCTTGGGACTTCATATCAATAAAATAACAAAAAAAAGTGTTTAAGTTGTGACAGAAGTCATTACAGCCCACGAAAGTAACCCAGTAATAATAATAAACCAGCAGAGAATTTTATGGTATCAGCAGTAATGGCTCCAGATGATTTATTATGAGTTCTACGTATTAACATGGGTAAACACAAATAGACTCCACATGGCAAATCAGGGTGGTGTCACAGCATAGGATAATTTATGACTGCCTGATAAATACTGCAGCTTATGACCTTTCATGAGCACATTTTAATAAAGAGCTTTTAAACTCTCTACTTGTGGGTTATTTATCTGCCTACATGCACAGGGGACACAAATACACAGCAGGACATTGATGAGGTTCTGCATATCTCTCTCTCTCTCCAAATTTGAATTTGGACACACACAGAGAATGAAGAATTAGGCATATTATTAGTACAGGTGGTCCTCTGAGACTGGAAAGAGATTTGCATTCGCTCCTTCCAGCCAGGCTGGAAATACTCATCCCTTTGCAACAAATGGCACCTGAAACGCAAGGCCAGCATTCGGCACAACCAAGAGAAATGACACAGACTTTCCAGACCCTTGGCAGGCAGCACACCCAGTCATGCACAGGAAGAACCCCTGCTGGGAAAGCAGAAAGGAAATGCTTCTGAAAAGGGACAGTCTACACTGCTGCTCCCTGCACTG